GGAAGGAAGGAAGGAAGGAAGGAAGGAAGGAAGGAGGGAAGGAAGGAAGGAAGGAAGGAAGGCAGGAGGGAAGGGAGGAAGGAGGCAAGGAAGAAAGAAAGAAAAAGAAAAGTCACTGTTAGAAACAAAGTAATACATTTTTTTTACAAATAAAAACTGTGTATGATGGTTACAATCTCTCTGGTTGCAAATTACATTGTGGTAAGGAGAGAGAGAGACAAAAAAACAAAAAACCCAAGAAGAATATCCTGGAGGTTCTTTTACTTTTAAGTCATTGCCCTAATAAAATAGCATTTTAATAATTATGATCATGATGTCCAGTGCTAAAGATAAATGACTTACTATACTCCAGTGGCCGGTAGCCAGGACAGGACAGGACAGCTCCAGCCTGAGGGAGGACACTTCACTTTAACTCACCTCAGCGTTTTTAACAGGACAAAGGCCACCCAAGTTCTTATATCTGCAGAAACAATGCAGAGGTGGCAGTATTTTTTTTTTCATTTTCTCTTCCAAGGAGACAACATAAAAAGAGGATGGAAAAAAAATATGTCTGGTAAAAAACATGGTCGTGGTGAAAATGTGAATTTGGCAGGAAGTTTGGTAAAATATCAAACGTGAAGAACTGCTTTTTCTGGTTTTGCAGTGGGTGTTAGAGGATTTGTTTTTTTGCTCCTGTTACAGTTTCAGTACAGTTGCGTTGTCTTTGATTATCAAGTTTATTCACAAAAACTTTTTTTTGATTATCAAGTTTATTCACAAAAACCTTGGTTCGAATGTGAACAGCTGATGACAGCAATAATATCAACGTCAAACCAGATGGAGTTCATTCTCACCGCACCTTCTGACTGAGATATTAGAGCTACAAAGATGCCAAATTGCTTTATTTTCTTAGATGTTATTTCTAGCCTAAAGCAAAAACAAAAAGCCCTTGAGTTATAAATTAAATTTTACTTTGTAGTCTGGCTGAAACCCCAGAGATAAAACAAAAACGTACCTATTTTTGGGCCAATAAGCCATGAAGACCAACCTTGAAAATTTCCTATCAAAGTGAAGATCTGTGCGACTGAAACCGCTGGCTGTTATCAAAGTGAGGCCCCCTGCTGGTCTTCATTAAACACACAACGTGACCGTTTCCCTCCTGCTTTCCACGGGTCCCTGCAGGCACAAGAACACATCATGCAATTACCCACCTCAGGCTGCTGCTCTCCCAACAATCAATACCTACAGTCCACTGGCCCTGGGTTTCCTGCTGCGCTTCAGTTCCGACTTTAAGTACCGCTGCCGTTTGTGGACGTGGGTTGGAACGAGGAGGAAAGTTAATGCTTGTCAAGAGAAACCAGATATGGTCAGGAGTTCAGAGTAGATCCGGAATACTTTACAATTCCCGAGTTGATTTTTTCGTTTTCATTTTAGGAACAGCATCGGTTTCAACTTGAATCGAAAACAGCCGCGTGTTCATGCAAATGTATCGGTTCAGCCTTGTTTATATTCTGTTCAGTGAGGGATAATATTATTTAGGAGCAAAGCTCTGCCCTTTTTTGACATATTATTTATGGAGAATGTTCTTGTTTTAAACACAATAAAATCACAAATAAATCATTTGATCTCCTAGTGACACACGGCACAAGTCCTTCGTCAGTCAGCCCTGGTTTTTGTTTTGTTCGTGGAGAGTCATAAGTCAGACTCTCTGTTAGCAGGTGCAAGGTTGTTGTAAATAAGTAGAGTATTTTTTTTATGATCTGAAAACCTGAAACCAACAAATATATCGCTGTCCCTGTTAGCTTAGCAGCAGAGTAATGCAGTGACACATACAGAACCGCTGCACCCATCTGCAACAAATCACTGTCTATTCCAGGAGTTCCAGCACAGATGTGACCTGTGTTTATTGACCTGTTCATAACATTGTGTTTCCATGTTCCTGTCCGGTAAATCTGATAAATCATACAGTACTGTTCAAGAGCCTTAGACCAGTGGTTCTCAAACTGTGGTACGCGTACGTCCGGTGGTACACGAGCGCTCTCTAGTGGGGTGGTACACGAGCGCTCTCTCGTGGTACTCAGTCGGAGGATGTATTTCTAAACATCTCTCCTGTGGTGGAAGCTACGAACAATTAATACAACATTTAAACATAATTTCTAAACATCTCTCCTGTGGTGGAAGCTAACAGTGAAGGCCTACGCTGCTATATTCTAATGTTGGTCATCATGGTGGTACTCAGAGAGATCAGTGTTTTCTAAGGTGGTACAGGGTAGAAAAAGACTTAGACTATTATTATTTTTTTTATCCATTCAAGAGGATAAAAACAGAAGCCAAATTGTTAGTTTGTAATAAAATAAAAGGATTATCTGCAAAACTGGAGAATAAAAATAGAGTTAAAAGCCAAGGCAAATTTGACAACGTTATTTTGTTTCGCAATTTTCCAAAATGGGGACCAGGCCACTGTTTCAATTTGTGATTCCTCAGTTTCACAACAACAATGTCTATTTAGAGAAAATGAGATTAATAAACAATTGTCTGGAAAGAAAAGTGGACGCAACAAACTGGAAACAATGCTTTATAAATGTAATGGTTTTATAAAAGAGTAGTGGAGACCATCGGGAAGCTGATGTTAACAAAATAACTGGGTTATTGTCACTTATGACTAAATACAGACTGTGACTCAAAACACAACGAGGAAAAACAAACAGTGGTGACCGCTTATTTTTACAACAAATTGTCTTTTAAACAACAACATTTGGCACCTGAAACTTCAATTCCCTGGTGACTAAAATAAAGTTGAAAAAAAAAAAATTTAACCCAACCTGTTGCTTGATAAAATACTAATTTTCATTGTTTTTAGGACAAAGTATCAACTTTTCCTGAAATGCTATTTAAAGTCTATCATGTACAATGACATATGGCGGACATTGAGAGAAAATTCCATTTGAAACATGGCGACTAGGCAACAAATGGTAAATGAGGTTTTTCCAGCTTCACATCTGTTTTTCTCAGATAAAATTAAATTCCGTTGCATTGGCCTTCATTCTGTTTCCTCCCTCACATCCTCTGTCTTATTCTAATTCCCCTCCACTCGCGTCACATCTTACATCTATTCTTATCTCCTCCCACAGATGTCAGCACAGGAGAACAGACGCCCTCTATGCTTAATATTTTCCTCAAGATTTTCTCCTCACCCTGAGTGACTTTTCCGTCATTGTTATCCGGGGAAATAATACGCAGATTAATGAGCATGAAAGCAGACGCAGCGTGGAGCATCACCACAGGCAGGTGCTGGTAAATCTCACCTCTTTATTTTCCGGGTTTTAAACTCCTCCAAACATCTGTCCTACTTCCAAAAACCTGCCTCACACAGGGTTTTTAATGGTGTGTAGCAGAGTGCTGTGTTTTCACACCGCCGGTCCAGGTGAAGGAGGACCATCGTACCAGACTCCATGCTGTGACCTAGTTAGAGAAGTGGAGAAACGGGGCACGCAGTTCAGGACTCATCCTGGAGGAGAGACAAGCAAGTGTGTATGTAGCACCTGATAGTTGGACATTCTATTACATCCTCCATCAGGATGCTTTAATTTAATAAGTAAAATTACAGCAATCTGCATTCAAATAAAATAGTATTATATATATATATATATAGGACTGTTTGCTTCAAATATTGTCTAAAAAAAAAAGACATTTACTTGAATTCAATTTCACGAGTTGAGTTTGAATCACATTCAAATTCTGTTTTCTAAGTTTTCTAAGTACAAAGTTCTGTGTGGTTAAATGAAACATCTGTTACCTTGTACAAAACTAAGGTAAAATGTAGAAAATTGAATTACTCCGTACAAAAGGCTGAGGTTCAAGCTGCAGCTCCAGTACCAGAGGGAGTCGGTGAAAATAATGAATTAATGAACACATGTAAATATAGTCTAAAATCCCACTTCGGGGATTGTTCTTTAACCTGTTTTGGGGTGTTGTGTGTTCCGCCTGTACAAAAATATAAAGTTCAACAATGAGGAGCAGCAACTGGAAGCAGAAATAATCATCTGACTGGCGGAGGTCCAACTCATCTAGAGGTGAAAAACTGACGGAACTGCATAGTTTTGTCTGGGAAACTGCCAACTCACAAAACAGACACACAGAGAAGGACAGAAAACACAACTCTGTGTCTGCTCTATCCAAACTCTGTCAAAGTCAATAAAACAATTTGATGTCACTGCAGCAGAGGTGACGTCTCCAAACCACACAGTCCTGTCAAATGTCAACGGAGAAGACTTTTCACCGACAAACCAGAAAAGAAAAATACCGGCTTCCTTAGAAGAAAAAGGTATACCTTGGTTTTTTTGGTTTGGTTGTAAAGGTGTGTACATGCAGAGTCGAATACTCTTTACGTTTACGTTGATACACAACAGGATTTAAGTACTGTCCCGATTTGGACACAATATTTCCCTTGCTAAAGATGTAAAAAAAAATAAAAAAATAAAAAATATAAAAAACATATAATACAATTCAAACTTTGGGTTGAAATGTCCCATGGGATTTTAGATACATTTTCAAATCTAGTCTAGATCAGGGGTGTCAAATATATGGCCCGCAGGCCAAAACAGGCCCACTAAGGTGTTCAGTCCATTTTTTTGTATAATTATGTAATAAATATATTATATTATATATATGATATTCTAAATATGAAATTATATTCCGTTACATATGAAAAATAATAATACATGCACACATTGCACTTTTTGCATGAACACAATGGGGAATGACAAATAATAATACATATTTCATATGTTTTGCACTTTTTGCATGAACACAATGGGGAAAAACATGGACCTGTTGTTATTTCTTAGAGTTTGTGTTCTAATTATCCAGTAGAACGGACTCAAAACAATCAATGAAGTAAAAGAAACCAGAATCAACAATTGTTTTGCAACAATAATAATACATTTATCTTAGTTTTTGGACCCTGACAGAAAGACAGCACTGAAAAAAATAAATTAAAAACCTTGCATTACTTAAAAAAGCACCTCCACAGTTCTTAAGAAAGGCTATTTCAAATCTGCTAATAACCTCCTAAAATACTTTAAGATTATTTAACAAAACTTCATTGTTGTGATCTGATTGGATAGTGTCTTAATTGTTCTTATTAATTATTCCAAAATCTGTAAATCTACATTTTAGCTTCAGAAAACACTAAAGTTGCTGATCCACTGCTGCCTCCTGTGGCCAGTCTATGTTATTGAGGTAAAACTGAACAATATTTAGAAACACTGCAAAGAAATGAAAAATAAATGAAATAATACACTTTCAAAATGAATAAATATTTGAATTAAAGGATGAACCACAGATGCCAATAAAACATTCTATCGGAGGAAACTATAAATTTCACCTTTTCTTCACTAAAAGATAAAAATAATTAAAGGATGAACCTTCTATCGGAGGAAACTATAAATCTCACCTTTTCTTCACTAAAAGATAAAAAGCAACACAAACTTTATTCCCATTCCTTCCATCCCAGCTGGCAGCCATGTTTAAGTCAACGCCAGTGCTTATGCAATCTCACTTTGGGAAGAAGAAACATTTCCATGTGTGGAAATGAAGCTGTCGAAATTCCTTTAAATACAACCTTACATCCTCCGACTGAGGATCTGCTCAGTCTCCCCCCTCACCCCCGAGGAGATGAATTATTTGTCTCCTCCTTCCATTAGCGGGGCAGAGATAATGAGACATGGCAACCCAGAGTTCAAGACAGTGACACATACGTCGCCTTGAATCGGGAGCCGTGTTAATCATCACAAAGAACTTTTGTGAAGTTGCTGCTATAAATGATCGCTTCGGCGTTTCATATACAGACTGAAAATGTCTGTTGAACGTCACCTGAGGTCTGTTGTCTGTGACTGTAGAAAAGATTTTATACAGCGTTGCATTAAAATGTGGCTTTCAAAGGGAGCTTGTCTGGATCATCTTAAATAAATAAAAGGGTTCTGGAAATAGTTAGCCAAATGTTTAGGTAAAGTTTTGGTCAAAACAGCATGGACTTCAATTGATACTTGATTGATTTTCAAGAAGATCTCGACAGATAATCCCAAGCTAGCCTAGAACATTTGTTAAGTTTGCCAATTTTATATAAGGATAGTATGAAAAAGATTCATCCTATGAAACATTTTAATTCTTATTCTGTTAAACTCCAGTTCCAAATGTGAACATATTGAAACGGATGGTTTAACAGCACATGTACATCATTCACAGGATCTCCTCTGGGCTTAACTTTGGAAGGAAAACAGGACAATCTTTGGCAAATAAAGATCGATAAGACCAGGTTGTGTCCAATCTTTGCACATTACTGTATCCTGTGAGAATTGCAGTTTAAGGACCCACACCTGCTTTTCGTGCAGACTGCAATCTGTTCCCTCCCCGCGCAGCTTTTCTGTTCCAGCAAATCCTAACAGTAACGCCGTCTATTTAATGTTTCTTAAATAAAAGAGCGTTCACGTGCGTTTCCACAGTCGGCCTGTGTAATTTATTCAACAATAGATCCTCATCAGACAGGGGCCGACACCAGACGACTATTATTTATTCCTCATGAAATATTTAGCTTTTCCTACTTATTCGAGTCACACCTCACAGAACAACCGCAGTCTATCTCAGTGCATTAGAGTCTCCTAAACTAAAGTGATTTATTTTGGTTTAGTTGTCAACTCTAACAAGAGGATTTAATGTCAGACACAACCACCAGAAAACAACTGGTTTACTGACGAACTCCACAGGAATCCAGATTAGATGAGAATTCACTGTTATTTCGTGTGCAGTAATATTAATAAAAGATGGGACTAAGTAGTTCCAATTGCATGGTGTGTAAGTACATATACAGGGGGTCCTCAACAATGAAGGGCAAAAAACTCCTTCAAAAAAACACAAACAAAATAAAGTGAATGTAGCACAATCCAACGTAGGGCTGCAACCCGTGAAGGTAAACAAAGCCGTCCTCCAAGTATAGCTCCGCATGACGACCACTCTGACTGCTGCGCTCGCCAACTAAGTCCCGTGTGAACTAGTTGGAGATTTTTAATAGCGTACGTCGGAATGATGACATGGTAATGTAGCAACGAAATGCTGCATGCCAACCTCGTAAACTGTACATTGCAACTTCTGTACATGTTTTCTTCCTCAGCCACCGTCACGTCAGCAAACGCCCCAGATATCTTACCCAGTAAAAATGTAAACAGATCAAACTGGTTTCTGTCAAAGCTCATCTGTTTTATGTAGAGTGTCTTGTATCAGAGTACTCTGACAACTTCATTTGTTTATTGATACATTAAATATATATTTGTTATTCCTGTGTTTATGCAGTTTATCTCTCACTTGCAGCATACATCCATCCATTATTTACTGCTTACTCCCTCTCAAGGGCGCTGTAGCCAATCCCAGCTATCTACAAGAATGATGCAAGACCTTTAAGTCAATTTATGGGACATGGTAATGTAGCAACGAAACGCTGCAGGCCGACGACCTCGTAAACTGAGCAACTTCTGTACATGTTTTCTGTCTCAGCCACCGTCACGTCATCAAACGCCCCAGATATCTTACCCAGTAAAAATGTAAACAGATCAAACTGGTTTCTGTCAAAGCTCATCTGTTTTATGTAGAGTGTCTTGTATCAGAGTACTCTGACAACTTCATTTGTTTATTGATACATTAAATATATATTTGTTATTCCTGTGTTTATGCAGTTTATCTCTCACTTGCAGCATACATCCATCCATTATTTACTGCTTACTCCCTCTCCAGGGCGCTGTAGCCAATCCCAGCTATCTACGGGCGAGGTCGGGGTACACCCTGGACAGTTCTCCAGTCCAAAACACTGGGTTTAAACATTTTTTTTTACAAAATGAAGAGAAATGCTATGTGAATAAGTTTCTACAAAACCAAACGTCCACTGGTTTCAGAGATTACAACTGCTGTGCCTCTGGTTCTCATGGTCAGAATTTTAAAACTCAACTGTTCTCACCTGAGCCAGTCGAACTGGAAACTAAACTCCGTGCTACCTATTAGAAATCTGTGCCTAGTGAAAAGAGAAGTCCGTAATTGCCAGACTTTTTAAACTTTTTTTTTTCTTTCGATCTCCTTGTGCTGACAGGGTTTCTGACTGGGCCCACATCTTTTACTGTACGAGGTAAATGGACCGGCGCGGGCTCATATGGAGCAGCAGCGCTGTGCTGCCTGAGAGTTTTAGCCTTGGCTCAGTGTGCTCCATTAATACTTTGTCAACAGTGTCACAGTCTCATAAATAACCTTGATGTGAGTGATGCACTAAAAGTAAAAATTGGGGGTTTATACTGAGCAGAATTGCCGGTCCCATTAGTCTCCTCAGACTGGCTGATAGATTCTGCTCTTCTCTGAGGACGACTGACGACTGTGACAAGAACACCGTCTTGACAATTATTTTATTCCTCCGCTGCAGCATG